ATTTGGTTCACATTAAAATAGGAATGTTGTAATTAATATAATGACAAAATTACATATACTTAGTTTGAAATGAACTACAAAAAATATGACTGCCCTGTTCTGACGCTACTTGACGAAAATGGTGTAATTTTATTAGCAAAACTGTGAAATAAATTGTTAGTTAAATTCATTATATAAAAAAATAGTTTTCCGGTGTTTTGATCAATTTTCTACCAATCCATTAAAATTAATTTTTTAAAAATAGAAACTAATCAATTTTATACTCGGTTAATTTGGATTATATTAAATGTATGTTGTAATTAATATAATGACAATAATACATGTAGTTTGAATTTTAAAAATCAATAGTCCATCTAAAAAATTTTATACGGAAAAGTTAGGAAATAAAATTTAGCTGGGTAGACACCAAACAATTGGTCAATTTATTACTGATCGATTTTATTACACTGCTACTAAACTCAAACGACGGACAGACGTTGAGTACGTTAAATAGCCCATGTCCTGAGTGTTCCGCTCTCTACCGTCCACGATGGTCTACCATGAGAAAGATCAACTATCAGTATTTTCATAATTTTGAGTACTTAAAGTTTTTGTTAAGAACTTGCTATCGAAAAATCAAAAGCTATAAAAATGTCGAAGTCTTTAAGGAAGAATATTTGAGAGGGTGTCGGTGGCCGCAACGGTTAGCCGGGAACACACTTACCTGATGCAACGCTATGTGACGCTACCCGACGCAAATCCCAAGTCCATTTTCCCATAAAATTGTATTACCATCGTGCACATCTGCCTTATGCCACCCAACGATGGCAACTCTACGCTCTGCGATCCCCACGGTCCAGATTTTCGTAGGGCAGCATCGAGTACAGTCGAAGGCAAAACAACCGGACACAGTTCACTTATCACAACTGCTGTTGCTAAAACTATAATTGGTGTTGTAATTATTTATTTCATCCTGTTATAGGTCTATGAATTCTTATAAATATTTAATTTATGCTCATCTATTTATTTTATAATTGTATAAATTGACTGACTATTGCTATCATGTGCGTAATATCGGTCCTTCAAACATTCTCACGTGTTCATAAATTGAAGGTACTTATGGGCATATGTTGGTTTCATAGGTAAGTATGTCACCCACACATTCCTAAAAATATTGTTTTGCTTTTTTAATACACTTTCTGAAAATCAAATTGCCCCTAGAGCATTAAGGTTGTCTCAGCTTTTTCATATTATACTAAAAAGGAGAGCGGGACTTAAACACCAATAGGGAATTTTTTTGATCAATACAAATGGAAGGATATTGAAAGTTTGATGTATCAGAATTTGAGGAAATAAGTTAATGGAGGTGTGTTAATGGAATTTCAAGCAGGTTTTCGGTTAGGGTAGAACTACTTGATCTGCATTAGGTAAAACTATCTAGGTTCTATCAAAGAATTCAATAGTCCTTTTCAGATGCTTGTTGTTTATTATTTTTCTCTAACCCATCATTTGTCCCCCTAATTTTCCCATCATGTCCTTTTACTTACCTTCTTTAATAGTATATGAAAGCCTATGCCTCGCTCCTCTCCCGTTTCTCTCAAATTAGTGTAAAACTGGATAACCTCGTTTTGTAGTAATGTCGCTCCGCTCGCGAGCTGATCAAAAGAGTTAACTCACTTTACTGAACGTTAGGCAGCGCTGATCTCCTCCACCCGATCCCAACTCTTCAGCGATTGCCGCTTAATTTTAAATTTTGTCTTTATTACTGAGTAAAATTTTGACTAATGACTTCACCCCCTTACCCCCTTCAGCCACTCACCAATCCTTATTCTTTTTTTTGACTGAAATTTTTTATTGGCAATAATACAAAAATGTTGAACATGGAGGAGAATAAATTTGAATGTTGCGCTAAGGTGACGTCAGACTGTGACGTTCTTAAATCCGTTGGTCACTTCTAGGGAGGTTCTAATATGTAAGTGCTTATACATGAAGAATAAAGAGCGTGTGTTTAAAAACGAAAAAGTCTTTACGAGTTTTTTATCCGATCCAATCCTGAAAAAGGCCCTACAAACAGTTCGACATTTCTTTCATATAGAAACCCTGTAATTCAGACAATCAACCTTTAAGATTAGCCCTAGCGTTGGTACACCGAATTCGAAAAACCCTCCAATGTTAGCCGTGAAAAAAGCTGATTAATTTCACTTAGTGAGCGGTTATGATCAAATCCTTAAAAAGAACGATTTTTCCCATTTCTATTTCTTGTGGGTTTATCTTAAAAATTGGGTTTACGGTGATCTTTCTCCTCTCACATCCGTACAAGTACTTAAAGAACGAGTAATTAAAACGTGCCTATCATTCGCCCCGATTCAACTGCGGATGCAACAGGCGTTGTCCAGAGCATGCTATTGTTTTGCAGCAGGTGGGGGCCAATTTGAACAGCTGTTAAAGTAAAAAAAAGGTGAGTAACAATGACCAATAGACCTTAGAACATATCTCAACAACAAAGTATGAAATATCCTCCAGTCTATATATTAAAATATCTCGGGGAATACGATACCTATCTAATTGTGCTTGGTGTAATTTTTTTATATTAAAAATTTAGTTATTAAAAATGTATCAAAACTTGCTATATATCATTTGAAAAAATAAAGTTGATACTCAACTACTTTTTTATGTGATACCTGTATCTACGGAAAAATGCAATCAATGTAATTGTTCCTGGTTTTATGTTTTGCTTTGTCTTTCTATAGAAAAAGTGTGTCATGTTGAAAGAAAGACATGCTATAGATTTTAAAAATCACCTTGTTTAATATAGACTCTATTATTACTAAAATATACAGTTCCAATAATCACTAAATGTTTAGAAAAAAATATATTTTTGACATTCATTTTCAACTCATACTTTTAGGTGCATTTTTTTTTTACCTCCGGTCGTTGAGGTGCATGATAAATGTAAAATATGATTAGATAGTAAACTTCAATACAGTATTGAATTTAGCTTTAGTCTAAGGTAATAAACCATGTTATGCGTTTAATTGTCTTTTATATTTTCCCCTGCAACAGGATTTATGGGCCGTAACTTTCTTTAAAGATGTTTATGTACATTATTATTTTGTCCTATTTTTTAAATATTCTAAATAAATTTGTTGAAGTCTTGAAAAACGGTTAAGAATGAAGTAGTAAAATGACAGAACAGATATATGAAAACTCAGCTGTAGCTACGCCAACGTCATAAAGCAAATAAACTATTAAACCTTAATTTTATTTTTCCCTTTCCAACATTTATCGAGTTTAACAATTAAATTCCTTCGCAATATTGAATGCCGAATCACAAGTGCAATCCAGAAAATCCACATTCTCGTCTTCCTTTGAGTTAAATCAAACCGCCTATGATAAAAGAAATTTTCTCAGATTTACCGCGTCCCCCACCCTATCATAGTCAATGAGCAGAGTACAAAATTATTAGTTCAAAAGTTATATTTACATCTTAACTTGTAGGCCCTGAAGATGACCCGAATAAAAGTAGAAACTCAGCAAAATAATAAAACAAAGTGATTTTATAAACCACCTCATTCTGGACCGCTCCTCACGTTTTCAACTAATTATGAAATCGGTCACTAAGAAACATATTCTAAATTAAGGGTTTTTGTTTTTAAAAAAATTTCTATTTATTTATAGATTTTACAAGTTTTATTCGTATGTGATGGTTATACAACAATTTTAATATTGATATTTTTATTATTTTTACCATGAAATTTCATTAAAAGGTTAACAAATTTAAATAATCATTTTTAAAAATTGCTAACCAAAGAGAACAAAGATAAACCACAGTTACATGATGTAGATATAATGTTCGGGGTGTGTAATATATTGCGCCCTTTGAGAGCTATTGTATCCCAGGTTCAGTATCTATAGCACAGCGGTAACCTAGCTCATCAACGAATATGAGCAGCAGGTTTCAGTGGTTGAAATTCTTGTACAGTTACGTTGTATATCCCAAAACACTTCCTCCTGTGGGCAGATGTCGCGCCAAAGTTTGTTAGTAAAGGGTCTTGGTGTCTCATGTTTTTCTTCTTTGCAGAATCTGCAGGTGCTGTTTTGGGTTATAACAATCCCAACAAAAACCTAACCGTAAAAAAAAGTTCCAGACCCTCATCCCAAGACAAGTAGACTAGCAGTGTATTGATATCTACACTGTGGCCAAGTCCGTTCTTTTTTAGTCCATAACCTGAGAGAACCCAAAAGAAAAGATAAAAGTTCCCTCCCAACAAAGTCAGCCTTCACTCTGCTACATTGACGAGCAACACAGCAACAACACTGTTGTTTTATTTTTATAGCTTAACGTTTGGCTAGTTATTGAGTGAGCAATGAGGAGTCTGTAACGTTTTTCTTTTCTTCTGAGTTCTCTATCTTCCCTTTAAACACCTCTCTTGTGGGAGCACACATGGCCCTGATATTTTAATCTTCATTGAAACGTAGTAACGCCTATCCTAAGCTTCTGCAAGCGCTTATTTCGAACTGAAATACAAACCATGCAACCAAAAACCAAGGTAGTGCACAGCAGTGACCGACGAACTTTAGTAGTGTTAAATCTATCAGTTGAATATAACTTTCATATGTCATATTAGGAGAATGAAATTTTAATAAATATTATATATCACAGTTCTCTCTCATTTTTTAATTTTTAATAGAGAACATAGCGAGAATATTATTTCATTTAAAAATGATTTGATTTTTGTATACTTAAAGTATTTTCGTTATTTGTTATAATAAGACTACCTAAAAACTAAAGGGATAACTAAAGCTGTATTATATTTTTTGATATGAGTTGATTTCTTGAGTTTGGTAGGAGGATGTTTCCCACCATCCTGGTCCGCCTAGTCTAGCTTTTTTGGACTATGGAAAGCCTTGAGGCATTTCTCAATCTTCAATAAGATCAAAAACGGCCAAACTACACTTTTCTTTTCTAAAATGAAACAAATTAAATTTAACAAAAGAACTTATTACAGGCTTTTTCACAGGAGTCTACGGTGCACAAGGATCGCAATACACATTCAGCTCTTTTCATCGTTCGCTGCCAACAACCTTATGTGGATTATTTGGTACAAACTGGTTGTCGGAAACACATCTGTAGTTCAAAGAAATCAGGTGACATTCACATTTTAAGATATTTTAAGAAATAATGTTGACGTTTGCTTGGTCGATGAACTTGTTTGGCTTGTTCGCAAATAGACAGACATTTAAACGATTTCAATGTCTTGTTTAATCTGTTGAAAAGCGACTGATAGATTAAACCGGCAAAGGTTGACCATACTGATTTGGTAGACTAAAATAAAAAATTTAACATGGAAATTTAAGCGATTCAATTTAAAACAAAATTAAACTGCTATATTTCAATTTAACTTTATACGTCGGGAGGATGTTTGCACAGTTTTCAATTAAGCTGGTATTAAGATTAAGATATTAAGATCCTGAAAAAATGATTTAGGAAGCAACTTCAAAACTCCACCTTATACCAAATATTTTGTATAAATTTAAATTAGGTGATATTAAACATTACTATTCAAATAGTATTATATAGTGAAATTTAGTGTCTCTTAATTAATGATTATTTAGAGATCGTGAGACACGGTCTGGTGCGATGTAGGTTTCGATTATAGCAATTTATCTCTTCTTTCCCATAATAATTCCGTCTATAATAACCCTGACAGGTTAACCAGGCCCGAACGACAAGCCATTACCCGTTTTTTTTCCATGATCGGTTCCTTTCACCGCAAAGAAGCCGTTCCCTCATAGAAAACTGAATTTCGATCCCTGCCTCCTTCCACACTCCTTCAAAATCAAACATATATGAACAAAAAACATTAATATCTCACTAACAATGACATATCTACTCAGAAAATACACACTTTGTGTGAGTACAAATGAAACCTAAAATTTCTATATTGTATACATCAATGTATAAATTCGTACTCATACGTATAGATGTATATATGTATGTATATATATATGTATATATAAGTTATGTGAAATTTTCTGTTTATCTGAAATTATCTGCAGGTGTCATTCCTAGTATTGTGGTCAGCACCTTCTCCCCCCTAAGTACAGAATATTTAATTCTGTATTTTTAATAATGATTCCCTGCCTAGAACTTGACGAGAGTACATCGTTAAATTAGGTTAAAACTTGTTCTTGTAACTTCAAATAAAGTTTTTTAAAAAAGGAATCCGCAGCTGAAGTTATTTAACTGGAGCAGTCGNATTTTTTCTTTTTTTACTCCGAGATTGGTTGTACTAAACTATTAATCATCAAGTCCGAACCTATACATGCATGGTCATGCACATACGGGACGTGGACGTGAATGCCCCCTTCCCCATGCTTTTGCAAGTCCATTGCATCACTGGCTTCATTCGAGTATATGCATTTGAGCTTTAAATCAGTGTAGACGTATATTGAGATCATTGAGCACTTATCTAAAAAGATTACTTGAGTTTGTTTTTTTAATTTATTTCTCAAAGATATTTATTCCGTTGTTTCAACAATTTTCGTCATTAATTAATTTTTTTTTCTATTTTTTCAACGATGGATTCAGGTTTCTGTTGTTTAATTTGTGGAAAAATATTTTCTAGGCCGGACAGTAAAAAAAGGCATGAACGAATTTGTAAATTTAAACATCACATACTTTCTAGTAGGAAAGAAAGAAATCATTCAGCTAATATTTTTTTTCAATGCAAGTCTTGTTCCCGACGATTTACTCGTAACGATAATTGTAAAAGACATGAGAAATTTTGTACAACTACCTATGATTTACCACAAGAAATACCATTCGAGTCGTCAGTTGACGACAGCATTAGTTTTCACCTGTGAGCCTAATGTAGCAAGATAGTTTTATCTGTTAAATTGATAGTTGTAACAGACATAGTTTGTGATATAACTTTGCGAACAATAAGCCTTCTCCGTCTTGTTTCTTTCCTAAATAAATAACATAATTTATTTTTCACCTAGATTTGACATTCCTAAAAGTCAATTTACGTGATGAATAAATCCTGGATGTATAAATAAAAAGAACTAAAAGGAAAAGGATTTCGAAGAATGTCTAAATTAAAGAATTAATGTTTTATGCTAAGATAATTTTGATCATACTTGACTTTTATTGTAGATGATTATGAATTATTGATTATGAATTTTTTATCCGCCTTTAAATATTTATACAAACATCTTTAGTTTATATTGTAAGTTAAAACTAACAATTTAAAAATAGCTCACACAACACTAATAATCAATGGTATCCTATTAAGAATATATAATTTAGAGTAATCATAATTCTTCATCAAATTACTATACCCCCTAGTTTTCCATTAATTTTTCAATAAGTTTAAGCTAAGGTGAGCTCAAAAAATTGTTGCTCCACCAAACGTTCTTTCGTTTAACGAGAAGAGTGACAGAGTACGACAGAGTAGCAAAATACACTGACAGGCAAAAAATTCCACCCACTTGTAATATTTATATTATATAAATATATTATGTAATATTAATATTTACATTATATATGATTCGTATACATTTTCATATATTAATCAAAGTTTCACGTTTTTGAGTTTAATAATTGAGTCTGTCTAAAAACGTAAAAAAAATATATAAATTACTACGGAAAATGAAAAACTAAGACGGACAGATAACATTTGTTTTAAATTTTTAATTAACATTTTAATATTGCGTATTTCTTCCCCTTGTCTTAATTAAGTCCCGAAGAAGCCTCTGCATACTTTCTACTAGTCTGGAAAGTCTCTTTGTTTGAGGTTAGCCCATTCTATACGAAGAGTCCTTTCAAGATCGTGGAGCGTATCAGGAAGTGATAGACTTATTAGTCTTTTGAGGTTATTCCATAAATGTTCGATGGGGGTCTGGAGAACGGGCCGGCCAGGCTTGGACCCTGACGTTATGCTATGCGAACGACATGTGGTCGGGCATTATCGTATAATAGGATTTTCGCTGATTTCATCGAGGATGGGCAACGCATGATGTTCCAAAATGTCATTCACATAGAGAGTGGCCGTCAAACACCCTCCGCAAACAACTACCAACTCTGTGCGAATCTCCATTGCAATTCCCGTCCACCCCATCACTGAGCTACGTTGGAAAATTACGGATTATTTTAATGTGAGAAAGAATTCATTCAATGATATGTATACCTCGAGGAGGCAATTAACTTGAAACTTTCTATCAACTTCCTAAAAGCCACAAGTTCTCTTGTTGTTTACGATCTCTTTTAATATTCACTTCCGTTCACCTTTTAAACTTGCGCTTGGATCTTCTTTGTTGTGTTTCGATAATAGATATTTTCGCTTTCGTAGTTTACAGAAGTCTAAATTTTGTCGTCTTTAAGCACCGATTTTTTAGTGTACAGGAGCATAAACTTTTTTCTTTCGCACAAGCAAAATCAAACTGATTTTATGTCATATTTATGCGCTGGTAAAATTCCAGCAAGCCAGTATGTGAATTTTCACGAACCAATTCACCTGGTTTTTCTCACTCTCATATCGCTGCTTCCTCTTAAAATGAGCATTTGAAATTTGAAATATCAATTAAGCTTAGGCTGCTTAGAACGTTATAAAAATTTTAGCACTTAATATAAAGTCTTTTCGAAAGGGCAGAATTTCAAAATTTGCATTTTTGTTAGTAACTGACTCACTGATCATCAAAATGATAAAGAATCGTATTTCTCGAATAGATAGAAATGTGAAATTTTGTAAAAAGGTATGTTTTATATAGCAAGTAAAGGAAAAACAACTGAAAATACAATTTTCTCAAACTAGTGACACCAAGGAGGAGAGGGAGGGTACAGTCTCTATATCAAAATTATAAGGCGATTTTTGTATTGGAAGTAAAGGTAAAAATCTCAAAATATTGCAAGTTTCTTAAAACTAATTATATGCGGGAAGTCAGGCGCGTGATGAGATTCTATGTAGATGATGCTGCACTTTTGTCGGTGCATATTGATCAGATTTCTGCGATAGGGAAAGCTCAATCATTCCTGAATAGATTACTGCTTTGCTACCACGAACCAAAGTTAGCAATAAATCGTGGGAAAAATGCTGATGATTTTCAAGCCAGTTGACCAGCCCGAGATTGTTGTATATCTTTCATGCCCCTGTTAGATAATAAACTCAAGGGATCCAAATTCATCGAAACATGACTGCCCATTCCTGAGCGTGGTAAACTAAATGCCTTATTTGAGCCTAATTTCACATAATCAAATATATCATGGTTTCATATTTAGCAATTTGATTTTCTAAACTGTACAGTTTATTAAAGAATGTTAAAACACGTTAGTACACAGTGAATAACAATGAAAAACATATAGGAAGCACATAGTTGATATTTAAGGAAGACTAACTAGACAAACATTTGCAGTGCAATTTAAAAAAAAAGTTGGACGAAAAAATCTTGTTGCAGCCATTCTGTCAGATACTTCACATCGTGTTGCAGTACCTCATGGTGGCAAACTACCTGTGGATGTTCTGCGAAGGGCTACACCTCCACTTGGCCCTGGTCGTGGTTTTCGTCAAAGACAACTCAGCAATGAGATGGTTCTACTGCATCGGTTGGGTTTTCCCTGGAATTCTCACAGCAATCTACGCTTCCGTGAGATACTGGTATACCGAAGAGACAAGACAGTAAGTGCTTTACAATAAAATTAGGATCAAATTGCAAACTTCAATTATAGTAATTGCATCGACCAACTAGTGGTGGAAAGTAATTTAGTTGTTAATCAAACCGTCAATTTAGTCCCAGAAACTAAATTTCAGGAAATTTATTCACTGTAATTCATGTAATTAAGATTTTAGTGTATAGTTTGAATAATTATGATTTCCCCTTTACAGAAAAGTGTAATTGTTTTTAAAATTCAAAACTCGGCTATGTTCCTATCAGCAAATGATTATTATGTGTATTTATTGTTCAAGGTGGTTTCAAACACAAATTATTAATGTGTAGAGATTAGTGACCGTTAATCGATAGTTATTCAGATATCGTGAGATGCGGTGGGGAGTGATGTAGGTTTCAGAAAAACATTTTCTTTATCGTGCCAACGTTTCGATCTTTTATTGAGATCATCTTCAGGGCCTGGGATTTACAAACAATGTTTACATTTAACAATTACATTTAGGATGCGGAAAAGTGAATTTATACAATGCAAAATATATTTTATATTCAAACAAAGTATTTCTACTCACTCAAAGTGTTTGTCTTCTGTGTAATTCTGTCATCCTAGCGTGTCGTGTTGAGAGTGCCAGTGAGATTGTGCTGTTTTATGTTTATATATGTTTGGTTTTTAAGGGGTGGGGAAGGAAGTATATAATATGTAGTAAATACTAGGAATAATGTTGCTACTAGAAAGAATTGAATTGAAAATGGTATACGGGGTGATCTTTTAGGGTCAAATCCACATTCAAATGGTGATATTTTTTCTCGATCTATTATGCTTTTTTTTCTTGTAAAAATACAAAGTGTTATTATTAGTGCTGAAATAGTTAGGGCTGTGAATGATGTAATAATAATTGTTAATATTATTCTTTCTAATTAAAGTCCTTCTGATTGGAAGTCAGATATACTAATATACTAAAAGAATAAGCTATCTTCCTCATCAATAAATGATAATATATACAAACAGTCATACTACATCTACAAAATGACAGTATCATGAGCCCACCATAGAATCATAGAAAGAAAACATAAACAAACTACAAAAGGCCTAATTATCACTGTAATACTCGGAATTTATTTTTCATTATTACAAGGATACGAATTCACTATTGCAGACTCTGTATATGGATCTTGTTTTTTTATAATCACAGGATTTCACGGATTTCATGTTATAATTGGAACTATTTTCTTAATTGTATGTTTATTACGAAATATAGAAAATCATTTCTCTAAATCACACCACTTAGGATTCGAAGCTGCCTCATGATACTGACATTTTGTAGATGTAGTATGACTGTTTGTATATATTATCATTTATTGATGAGGAAGATAGCTTATTCTTTTAGTATATTAGTATATCTGACTTCCAATCAGAAGGACTTTAATTAGAAAGAATAATATTAACAATTATTATTACATCATTCACAGCCCTAACTATTTCAGCACTAATAATAACACTTTGTATTTTTACAAGAAAAAAAAGCATAATAGATCGAGAAAAAATATCATTATTAAAGAAGTAGCATATGAAACAAGATAAAAACCACCCATACCACATAGTAGATTACAGACCTTGACCTTTAACTGGATCAATTGGAGCATTAACTTTAACTTTCGGAAGAGTTATTTGATTCCATAAAAAAGAAAGAATATTAATAATATTAGGAATAATCATTATTATAATAACTATATTTCAATGATGACGAGATATTATTCTAGAAAGAACATACCAAGGGCATCATACATTAAAAGTTGCCAAAGGAATAATAATCTTTTATATACCAACTTCCTTCCCCACCCCTTAAAAACCAAACATATATAAACATAAAACAGCACAATCTCACTGGCACTCTCAACACGACACGCTAGGATGACACAATTACACAGAAGATAAACACTTTGAGTGAGTAGAAATACTTTGTTTGAATATAAAATATATTTTGCATTGTATAAATTCACTTTTCCACATCCTAAATGTAGTTGTTAAATGTAAACATTGTTTGTAAATCCCAGGTCCTGAAGATGATCTCAATAAAAGATCGAAACGTTGGCACGATAAAGAAAATGTTTTTCTGAAACCTACACCACTCCCGACCGCATCTCACTATATCTGAATAACTAAACACCTTATTAAATTGAAATTTTTTTGTTGAACAGAAACATTTGACTGAGGAAAGATAATAAGAATGTGAAAGAGGTTGAATAAGAGAGGAGGAAAAGTAAGGTATAGTGTGAAAGGTATTGAGAAAAATAGAAGATGACAGTGAGTTTGATTGTTAGAAAGAAAAATAGGGCAAGAGGAATTTTATTCATGAGTAATTGAAAAGGAAATAGATCTAAGAGAGTAAAAAAGAAGGAAAGAGTTTAAAATATTAAGAGAAGCGAGGCTTCGAAGGAAGAGAGATTGTAGAAGATAGATATTGTAAGAGCGGATGTGATGATCATGGTGATAAAGAGTGAAAAGGTACTTCAAAAAAAGAAGTGCAAATAAAAGAAACAGGGAAAGAATGCATGGAACTGATGGACATTGCAGTACAAAGAGATGGATCGATAAATAGGGGAGAGAGAAAGAGAGAGAAGAGAGAGAGAGATAAAGAAAGAAAAAGAGGGAAGGAAGTAGAAAGGATGAGAGAGAAAGAGAAAAGGAGAGACAAAAAGAGAGAAAAATGCGAGGGGGAAAGAAAAAGATAAGTCATCTTTACAGAATTATCCTTTTTCTCTCTTTCTCTTTCCCTCACTTCCTTCTCACTATATTTTACGCTCTTACCTTACCTCCATCTAACTCCCTCACTCACTCACTCTCTCTCTCTTTATCCATCCATAAGTGTGAGAGGGTGATGGAAAAAAGATAGGCAGAAAGAGAGAGAGAGAGAGAGAGAGAGAGAGAGTGAGAGAGAGGAGAGAGAGAGAGAGAGAGAGAGTGAGAGGGAGAGGGAGAGAGAGAATGTGTGAAAAATATTGACGGACTGATAAAAAGAGCGTTTGGGATTCGTGAAGAAAAAAAGATAGAAAGTAAAGTGTAGAATGTGGAAATAGCGACCTTGTAGATTTAAGGTAAATAAATGTAAATACAATTTGAAGACTGTAAATTGTTGATGAATCCATGATTGATTTATAAAATTGAAGAAGCGAACTCAAAAAATAGTCCATTTACTTGTATGCAATAAATAAGAAAGGTAGAACCTATGTTTACCATTCTATTATCTAGTTTTAAAAAAATTCATTTGCTAAGAAGTTCCATACAGATATTACATATTAATACATAACTATTGGTATTGCAATTAAAATTATGCTCATATTATTACATTTCAACAACTATTATAACATATAACTTATTATATTAATATTATAATATTATTAAAACTTATATTACAGTTCAGTTACATTACAGTTCATTAAAGGTACAATAAATCCTTTAAGTTAAAATTCGTTAAAGTTTAATTTCTTCAAAAAAAAAAATAAAATAAAAGCTCCAAATATGTTTTTCTTGTATCAAATTGGTGTAGGCTGGTCATGTATCTCCGCTGCAAGTCACGTGGCTTATCTCTCTCGTAATACCTGCAGTCCGTGAGTTTATGTACGACGGTCTGGTTCGAAAGGAAGTCGCATGGGCATGTAAGTGTGTTCAAAATGTAAATACGATGAAGGTGTGCGCGAAAAGAGCCATGTAAGTAATTGTAAGTAGTTGAGTGAGGCAGTAGTCTGTCGGCAAATTTATTTGTAACCTTTTCTTTATTGTTGGGAAGTACTTTTTGTAACTGATGCGTTAGATGTAGATTGGTGTTCCCATTTCTTCTGCATTTTTTGAATATTGTTTTTATATTGATCGGGATTTTGTCGTAAACAGGTGATAGTGAAGGAAATTGAAGTGAAGAAAACACTGAAACTAATTTATCAGCTACTTCGTTTATTTTAATTCCTTTGTGGCTTTTCACCTTTTCACCCAATAGACACATGTACAGCCGTACGCTTTAATTTTTAACATTGTACGCCTGATTTCGTGCGTCATGATGTCTTCTTATGGAGTGTTTTCTTCTAGTATCTCTATTAAAATCTTACTACTTGTCCAGACATTGAATATCCCTTTGGACTATCCCTATCTATGGGAACTTTTGTAAGATATGATCAGCAGTCCATTCAAGAATCTTCATGATCGCAAGTCTGTCTGCTTTGTGGTTGTTGCAGTTCTCTGTCTGAATTTTACTGTGTAAATTGTAATTCCTTCATTGTATACTACGAATGCAGAACCAACATGTTTCCCTGTCTTACTTCCATATATATTTTCCGGTATATAAATCATATTAGTTTTCAATTGCTGTGCCTTTTATCGTAGGGAGTCCAATCCCTATGATTTTGGCTGGGTGTATTCATTCTTTAAAGTTGATTGGTCTATTATGTTCTCCCATATCCCATATTTCCATTTTCAGATCTATTGCCATAAAGTTCAGACTGCCTCAAATGATGTGGTTCGGTATCCTTTTACCTTTTTATGGTAAGCAGACGTTGATTCTTCTTATTTTTCTCAAATTTCTTTTTATTTTTAATCTTTCGAGCCAAGGGTAGAGATTATCTAGTTCGGATCTATTTTAGAAAGAGTTTACAGGGAACAACATATTTCAACCTGTTATATTATCTCCCAATTAACTACATGTAGAATATGTTTTTTAGTGAAAATCATCTCAATTAACGACAAGTTTAACCAAGCCCTTTTCAAAATTTCATCGTCAAACAGGTTTGATTCGGAGATCAAGAAAGTTTTGTTGGATCAAACCATCCCTAAATCGGTTAGCAAGGCCAGAATAAGGAAATTTCTGATAATACCAAGTCATTTTTAATTATTTCGTTATCTACCCTCTTCTGAAGACTAAGTGTTGGGGTTTGGGTGACCGGTTCCAACTTTTTTTTTGTAAGAAATTTGGGCGGTAAACCTTTCCCCGGCGGTTGCCGGAACTGTAGATTCAGAATGTCCTTTGTTAATGAATTAGAAAAAAAAAATTGTTTGCGTTGGTTCACAAATAAAGTGTGTATTAAGAAAAAAAAAGATTTTATACAAAATAATTAATAAACAATATTACTTCTCAGTTAAAATTATAATAAAACAAAAAAACTCTTTTCAGTTACTTTCTGATAAAAAAAAATTAAAATAAAGCAAGGCAAAATAAACTGTAAAGTCTTTCCTGGTTAATCAAGAAGATGCGTGCGTGCTTGCGTGCGAGCGGGCGTGCGTAAATCTCAAAAGGACGCTGGATCGGCAGGCAATAACGCTGGATCACAACTAACTTCCTCCCGTTCCCAATCGCTTGCGCGTTCACAGTTCGGACCTGTGTTTACAGCCCGAGCATTAACAGTTCATAAACACAGAGTTCTTATCGCGTTCTGGCCGCTTTTCCATCTTTTTAACGTTTTTAAACTAAAACGAACTGCAATGATTTATTAAATAATTAAAAATGACTTCGATAAAAAAAAAGAATAATAATAAAAAAACGAATGAACTTATTCAAACCCGAACATACCGCCCACCAAAAACAAAGTTTTTTTTCCACAATTGTTGTTATTCTTGTAATTGGTGTTACAATTGATTTGAATGATGGATTGACTCTTCTTCAGGAAGTAGTGTTACGGTCCAAACCTCACGTAGGTGGCCAGCCGGTCAGTGGTGAAGGGGGTGGGTTAATGGAAGGAAAAAAAAGTAAACGAAAGGAATAAAAATGTTGGGCGCCAGTCGTTCTCCCTTTTGTGTCCAGAGGAAACAAAAGAAGAAGCGACAAAAATAATAATAATAATATAAAGAGGAAAAAAAAATGTTGATAAGAAACGGGAACTAAATTTTAATGAAGAAAGAAAACCGGAAAGGCATAGGAAGAGAGAAAGAGAGGTGAAAAGGGAAAAAAAATATTTGGCCGTAGGTTCAATTAGATCTCAGATTCCATGGTTGAGAGTCAGCGACTCTATCCACACTGCCACCGAGGACTGATGACGGAGCTCCTTCCGTTGGTCTTCAAGCAGCGCGGACCCTTAAAAATTACTCATAATAACACTAATAATACAGGTAAAATAGATAAATAACAGATAGATCCCTTAATACAATTTATTTAAAAAC